GTGAAGATTACTTTGAGAAACTCTGGGAAGAATACTCTACAGAAGAGAAAGAAGAGTACCAGGGATCAAAGCTTGGAGATACATGTTTGTCTACCATTGTTGAATGGGGTCATTCGATGAGTGAAGAGGAATATGAAAATTCCACAGTGAGCACGAAGGAGTTCATCTGTAATTTTTCAGAGAACTTTGCTATGATTGACACGGAGGTTATGTGCTCAAGGCCCACTGACGAGGACAGTCATGGTCCAATGTTTATTTCACTCAGACCAGCTTCCTATTCATCTGGAGACAGAAGACAGTATCGCATGGGAGCAACTCTTCATGAGGCGAAACTGCGGAGGAAGGAGAGACAGAAAGAGAATAAGAAGAAAGGAAGGCCGCCAACTTCTGATCAAGCAGCTTCATCGACTGCAGCGGCATAAAACTCAGAGCGAAGGCTTACTTTTAATGATAGCTAGGAAGTGAAGATACTTCTGATCACGTTTATTACTTTGCTTCCAAGCTTGACTTTAAGTTACCAGGCTAAAGTTTTAATGGATTCTGGTTTGCAACAAGGAGAAACTTTTTGTCAAGGAAGATACTCCTGCATTCCAGGTTTATACGCTTTAGCATGCAGATAAGTACAGTTTACTAAACGGTTATTATCTGCAGGTAGGTATAGACAGTTTTTCAGAACTGATGATAACTACCACAGTCGCTCTTTTGAGATGACCTCTAATGGACAACCATTCATGGTTGATGATTAAGTCATTTCATAAGTTTGCATTTGTAGTGCAAGTTTTGTACATACATTTGCCGGTGTCTCCTTCCTTTGTTTTTGGTGTCAATGAGAGTAAGAGTCCTTTTGATGCAGTGTATGGAAGCGGCCGAGACCACTTTTAGAGAAGAACAATCCTCGGACCGAGAGTTGACGCTCCTTGCATTTTGCAAGGCATCGTAATTCATTGCAATTTGTGCGGTCTTGAATTTTTAGTTCTTCGTTACGCGAGTGTCGTTTACTGCTTTTACAGGTCTCTGTGTAAGAAAGCCGCTTTCCTTCGAATTTAAGTTTCTTTTAAGCTCTGGCTTTTTAAGGGCTATTGAGCGCCGGTATACGGTATCTTCGCCGGTTGAACAATACAGTCTCCAGCCGAGATACATCGTCGTTGACTTTGTAGTTGAGGTGAGTCAGCTATTGCTCCCTCACTGTATTTAGTAGACCTTGAGATTACCTTTTCTATAGTATGAAACATACTAGAATTGGTAAGTACAAGGCACCGTGGTTTCCTTTTAAGCATTAGAGCTGCTGGACTGTTTTAGCCTTGCGGTAGAAAAAGAGTATGCGACATACGGAATAGGCAGGAGTGGACATGAATTTTGTGCCTGTTGAAATGTAGAGGCATACTTGTACAGGTTCCACTCCAGTGGCCTATCTAGTGTGTCCATGCTTGACTGCCATAAGGCTCAAGAGATATAGGATAAGACTCTGCGTGAGCAAAAGACACTAGCGGTCTGCACCTCTACCGTGTACGCCCTAGTCACTCTTTCACCCCCTCCCCCCCTCTAAAATCAATTCTCTCCTGGAGAACGTCTTCGTGAGCCTCTCATGATTTCAGGATAGTTGAAACCCCCTTGAACATTTGGAAAGAGTGAATATGAAATTCTAATCACGAAAGGTGTTCCCCGAGGGGATACATACCTAGTGTTTGTTTTGTGAAGCACGTCAATTCTCTCCTGGGGAGCGTCTTCGTGAGCCTCTTATGGTTTCAGGATAGTTCAAATCCTATGATGTTCCGATTCAATGCTCACCGATGATCTGAGCCATGGGGCAAGTTTGTTTTCCTAAGAACCTTTTTGAACATTTCGAGAGCATATGTTTGAACATTTAGAGTGCATATGAACATATATTTACGAAAGGTCGCCTCCGAGGGGATAAATCACCATGTCGAACATTGCATTTTTGTTCCTGCCTCTCGCGTTCTCTTCTCTTCCCGCTGTCCTACCTTTCGTGTCTCCCTCCTCTCAAGTAGGCTATCTAAATTCGTCCCAGAGAACCGTTCCAACACCAATCTCGCCAGCCGGAGCCATGTTTGCTCCTGTCAGGTGCAGAACCTGGTGCAGGAGCCGCATGCTGTCTAGCGGATTCCACTTGAATTTAATTTCCTAATTCCACGGATTCCACCACTGTGCTTTTGGACCTCACCCCTTTGTGCCTCAATCCTTTCACCTCACTCCCAGGACAGAGACGATAACTTCAGCATGGCCTTGGAGTGGCTGGTGGAGCGTAATGATCCCAAGATCATTTGCCATCCTGCAGTGGTTCTGTTCTCTGATCTCTTGTGGACAAGGCTAGTGCAGCATCTCGAAAGCACATCCACTCCACTCTTGAGCAGCTTTATGATCAAGACATTCGCAGCAATAGGGGACCGGAGAGTGGGTGGAGATGCGATGGGACGCTGACCGAGGTACGACTTCTTGCTTGGCCGATGCTACTTTCTTTTCTGCTTGTGTGTGCTTTGGCGCACACTGCCGAGACGTGCTGAAATCAAACTGTTGAGGTTAGATGCAAGATGTCCTTCGACATGTGCCGTGCATTTTGCCAAGTTTGCTCGCTACCCGCATCGCAAGGTCTTCATCACTGGGCAGGCCATCTTGGGTTCGCCAGAGCCAAGCATGGGTGAACGAGTAGCCATCTTCTCCTGCCGGATTTTCATCTATTTGGGAAGCATGTGCCGGATCCTCTACTGTGACCTGGCTGCCAATCCAGAGTGCCAAGTGGTGCAAGAGTGCTGAAATACTGCAAGCTTTCCGCCACACTGCCCAGGCCAGATAAAGCTCCTCTATGATGACATCAAGACCGGAGCAATTGCACGTGTTTGGAAAATCCCGGTCCCAATGTGCCTCGGCCAAAGCCTGCACCATGGACGCTCATGGCCGATGCACTTGAAGCAGATTTGTTCGGGATTCGGGATGTTGAAAAGCATTCAATTGTGTCCTTGCTCCAGTAGCTTCTTGTTCCTAGTAGTAAGGCCAGGAGCCCCTAGTAGCGTCCTTGCTCCTAGTAGCGATGCCAGGAGCCCCTAGTAGCGTCCTTGCTCCTAGTAGCCATGCCAGGAGCCCCTAGTAGCGTCCTTGCTCCTAGTAGTAAGGCCAGGAGCCCCTAGTAGCGTCCTTGT